CCAATGCCCCAGCAGGTCCCAACTCTAGGATCAGGGAGCCTACAATCCATCACTGGCCTCAGGCAAGTGTCTGAGCTGGAGCACTTAAGAAAGGCAGCAACCAGCCTGGAAACACAGGAGGATGCTTGCAGGGAGCACACGAAGGGCCAGGGATGCGGGTCAGTATTTCAGGCAAACGCGTGCCTTGCTCCCCAGCCCAGAGAAAGGTTAGAAAGGTGGTGTGGTAGGCTGAAATGTCTCCGCAAAGGCGTCCATGTTCTAACCCCCAGAATCTGTGAATGTGTTACGTAACAGGGTAAAAGGGATTTGCAAATGTGATTAAGAATCTTGAGATGAGGCCAGGCGTGGTGACTCATGCCTGTTATCTCAACACTTTGGGAGGCCAAGGCTAGTGGATCACCTGAGGTCAGGAGTTTGAGACCAGCCTGGCCAACGTGGTGAAACCCCATCTCTACTAAAAATACAAAATATTAGCCCAGCATGGTGGCGCCCACCTGTAATCCCAGCTACTCGGGAGGCTGAAGCAGGAGAATCACTTGAACCTGGGAGGCAGAGGTTGCAGTGAGCCAAGATAGTGCCACTGCATTTGAGCCTGGGTGACAAGAGCGAAGACTCCATCTCAAGAAAAAAAAAAGAATCTTGAGATGAGGAGGTTATCCTGGATTATCCAGTGGGCCCAATATAATTACAGCAGTCCTCATGTAAGGCAGGCAGGAGGGTCAGCGGCAGCAGGAGATGTGATGATGGAAATGAGTGTGGAGTGATTGAGGAAGGGCTGTGAGGAAGAAATGCAAGTGGTCTCTAGAAGCAGAAGAAGACAAGGAAGCCAACTCTCAGAGCTTCCAGAAGGAACCAGCCCAGCCAAAACTCTCAATTTAGCCAAAGAAGAATGGCTTTGGATTTCTGAACCCTAGAACTGTAGGTAATACAATTGTGTTGTTTTGAACAAAAAAGTCTGGTCATTTGTTACAGCAGCCACAATAAACTCATACAGAGGGATCAGTGAATGAGCTACCCCGGCACAGAGGGGCATAAGGCTCAGGGAGGCCTTTGTGAACCTGGGCTTTGGGGTATTCTGCAGTCTAGCTCCCATGCCCAGCCCAGGAAGAGATGAGGATTAGAAGCCTGAAGAGGCATGATCCGCCTGGCATGTTTCCAAGTGTCCACTCTGATGCTCTTGAATAGTGACCATGCAGGACCTTGGAGTGCTGGAACTTCAGAGCAGGGATAAGGGGGCGTGATCAGCTTTCATCAAGCCCTGCGCTCCACCTGTGACGGCACAGTTCCCAGCACACTGCCTTGCTGTCCCCCACTGCCTTCTCCCAGGCTGCTAGGCTGCAAGGGGGTGAGGTGAATAGAATGCTCATCAGTGCCTGCCTCTGCCTCCACCCAGCCCACTCTGGTGACCACAGATGCAGTGCCATAGCCTGAGCTACCTTCCTGCAGTCACCCTGTCTGCCTATGGTTTTCAGAAATTAAAGCACATTCCCACCAAAGCAGCCACAGTGCTACCTTGCTCTCATGCTGGTCAGACCCCTTGGAGCCCCTACAGCTGTCTAGAAGGATGGCACCTTTTTCTGGGCTCCAATATGGGCAAGGGTGTTGTTAACAAGACAATGGGGGGCACGTGCTGGGAGGCCTTCCCCTACACGTCCATCCCCGTGAGCCCCTTCTCTTGCCACTCCACCCTCCCTGCTCCCGTCAGCCATCTCCCTCCCCTTCCTTACTCACGCCCCCACCACCTCCCAGCCTCCCACAGTTTCAGCCTTGGCTCCTCCTGCTCTCCAGAGTTGCCTTTTCTCTGAGAAGCCTGCAAATAAGCCCAGCCAGGGTCCGGGGCTTGGGCACGAGGCCACCCAGCCCTGCTAAGGAGAGGGTGGAACAGGCAGGCCATGAGGCCCTGAATCCAGAGCCCAACGCCTTCCCTTTGAGCCTGGCAGGCTCTGCAGGCCTGCAGCCCTGCCCTTGGCCAAAATCAAAGGGTCTGTAGGGACCCCAGCCAATAACCAGGCTGGCAAAAGCACTTGGGTTCAGGTCCTTGCTTGTCATTCTACCCAGAACAACTGCCGCCTGGTCATGCTCAGGCACTAGCTTTCCCCAGAAAATCATGTAGGAGGGCAGCTTGGCCCGCATCCCAGGGATCAGGAGGTTGAGATCAGCAGAGGAGGAGGAGGAGGAGCAGGGTCAAGGAACCCTCTGGGCAAAAGCCCAGAGCAGGAAGCAACATCTGCTGGGGGGACACAGGCAGCCCAGACGGCCCTGAAGCACCTTCTCCATTGGTTCCACCTCCAGGGGAAGTCTCTGCAGGCCCCCACCCACTTCCTGCAAGCTGGTGAAAACACCCTCCCCTTCTGATTCCGACAGGGTCTTCGTTCTCTCCTGGGACACCAGGGAGTTGCCCTCCACCTCAATTACATGCACCTCACACGAGTCCCCACAGCCATGCCTGCAGCGAAGGTCTAGGCCCTCCTGACCAAGCTGATGGGGCAGACTCCTGACCCAAGCTGGCCAACTGGATTCTCTCTCCTAGGAATTAGAGACTTAAACAAGGAGGTGCCAGTTCTATTCTTTTAGAGTGTTGACTCAAAATGATGTGAGGAGAGGCTGAGATGGCCACATTTGATCCTCTCCACATACAGGCAATGACAGTCAGTCTCCAGAGGGAGAAAAAAGCTGGCCTGAGAAAGAGGCAGAGGGGAGACCATGAGGCCTGAGAGGGTGAGAGAGTGAGAGCCAGAGAGAGAGACAGAGGTGGTTCCTGCCGGCCCCTGTTCACACTTTTGTCGATGAGATGCCTCTACATCCTTACAGTCCGACCCCCTTCTTCCCCTTGCTAGTTCGAGGTGTTTCCCTAACCTTTCCATCAATGACCCTTGGGTAAGACACACGCAGCCATCTCCGCCTCTATCTCATTCTAGAACGGCGTCTAAGTGCCAGGTGCGTCCCAAGACGCTGCTTCCTAGAGAAAACACCCTCCCCTGCCAGGCGCAGTGGCTCAAGCCTGTAATCCCAGCACTTTGGACAGCCAAGGCGGGTGGATCACGAGGTCAAGAGATCGAGACCAACCTGGTCAACATGGTGAAACCCTGTCTCTACTAAAAATACAAAACATTGCTGGGCATGGTGAAGTGTGCCTGTAATCCCAGCTACCCAGGATGCTGAGGCAGAAGAATTGCTTGAACCCTGGAGGCCTAAGTTGTGGTGAGCCAAGATCACGCCATTGCACTCCAGCCTGGGTAACAAGAGTGAAACTCCGTCTCCAAAAAAAAAAAAAAAATGGAAAACACCCTCCATCAGAGCCACCACACATTACTTTCTGATCATGCAGGGAACTTTAACCCACTTGGAGAAAAAAATCGGAAACTATCTTCCCTGCAGCGATTTTCTGATCAAAGTGGGACAAGAGACACTACCCCAAGACATCAGTCTGATCTTCCAAGGGTCTGTTTTCTGCTCCAAGGGAATGTAAATGCAGGGTGTTTATTCTACAGACACGAATAAAGTCCAGGAGATGATGGCCTTCCCTTTCTCCCCTCAACACCCATTTTACAAGGTCCTATAAGTTTAGGGCTTTGTTGCAGCCAAAAAGAAACATTCCCTTTGGTTGGAGCCCAATTCAGAGGGCAGTTGTGGGAGGGGGGTAATGTGTGTGTGAGAGGAACAGAAGGATTCTTGGGGGAACCAAAGCAAAGACCTAGAGAAGCCAGCATCATAGCGGTTAATGGGGAGGGATTGGATATATTTACTAAAATATAACAAAATGTAAGCATTTTATTAGTTCTTCATTTTATTAGTTTTTGAAAAAGACTCTTCGCAATTATTTATTAACCACTCTGGAATCTCCTTGGTCTTTTCGAGACACTGCTGCCATGCATAGGATCTACCCAGAGCCCCTAAGGCAGAAAGCACAAGGTCCCAGACTTCCAAGGACCCTTCTCCTCCCCTCCCACACCCTCACTTGTCATTGGTCCTTCCACTGTCATTGATCCAGGCTGCCTCTGTTCCCCTCCAGCAAATGCTTATTCCTTCCCTGGGCCTTTGCTCAGACAGGCTTCCTTGCCCCTGACTCTTTCCTCTGCCGATCTCAGCCTCCTGATCCCTGCAGTGCCGGCCAAGCTACTCTCCTATGTGCGGGCCACCCCGCACCTCCCAAGCTCAGGCCACACTGCCCTCTCCCTCCTCCGAATGCCTGTGGCTCTCATGGTCACAATGGCTCCTCTGTGCACCTGGTGCAATGATTTGGCAGCTTCCTGAGATCACAGCCCATCTTCCTGTTGGAACTGCCATCCGCGTGAGGGCAGCCCCTGAGCTTCAAACACAGGGCAATTGGCAGGGGTGTCTTGGCACAGCTCGTATGTCTTCCCCCAGCTGGGACTACCCCACACTCCCTTTCCGGCCCCATCTCCCCCCATGACCCTCGCTGAACTCAGTCACATGCCTCATTCATCTTTGTTTCAAGTCTCCACTCTGCAACCCCAGCTCAGCCTCTTGCATGTGGCAGATACTCAAAATGTTGTTGACTTGAAACCACATATACTCATCAGGTTGAATCCATATTGTCAAATTCAGGGGGTTCGAAGAGAGAAAGAACTACCTTTTGGGATGCTGTGAAGCTCAGCTTGGCCTCCATTTAATGCTGACCACCTAGGGAAATCTTCAAGAGGGCCATGAGGCCTTGTAACCCTGATGCAGTTGAGTTGTAGCTAGAGGGAACAAGGCCACACACAGCAAAGCCCAGGCATCAGGGCCTGTCTGACAACAGCCCAGGGCGCAGTCTCTCCGAATCTGCTCTTTGGTAAGAAGCACAGTGAACATACACTTTATTGCTCAGACCAGGACACTTTTGAGAAAGAACTGGCAATTATGCTGGGACTACCCCAGATAAGCAAGCAGGACGGTCACCCCAAGCAATCAATCATGTTCTGTGGCCAAACCCCTCCAAGGAATAGACAAAATACAGTTTTCTAAACGTAAGAATGTGCTAAACCTCCAAGTAGAGCTTGGTGCCAAGATTGCTTTATTTTAAAAGCCAAATGTGTTGTTGAAGTAGAGGCTGTGTTCTCGGCCCATTCTGGCTACGGTAGGAGACTGCTTAGGGAATTGTCTTAAAGCTGTATATGCTCCCGGGCCAGGGGTTTTCTGAAAACAGGGCAGAAAACAGGAACTGATGAGACAGTGAAAGCAAAACCCAAGGCTCCTGTGTCTGAGCTTCAAACTATTGGAGGTGGTAGACAAATTCCCCAAGGATGGAAACCAGGGCCTCACCAGCCTGGGCTGAAGCCTGCAGACCCTTGAACTGGAGCATGTCCTTGGAGCTGAGGCTGAAGGGGGGCTGAGAGGCCAGGCCAAGCCAGGGGCCACCTAGTACCTGCTGCGGAAGTTGGGGTCACACCCCACCTGCACCTCAAGGCATCCCTTCTCCCAAAGGACACTTGGTCCATGGAGATGCCATCATTATCCCCCCGGCGACCTCAGCCAAAGAAGGAAGCCAAAGCTTTAACAACCAGCACGGACACGCCTTATGATGCTTGAGTGAGAGTGAGTGAAGAGAATGAATGCTGAACCTAGATGGTCTAACTCAAAAACCCTAACCGCCTTTCAAACTGGGTTGTGTTACAGTCACTGACCCAGAGTGATTAAAGTAAGGTGTTTCTCAACCAGGGTCCACGGACCCCAGCTCAGAAGTATTCTCAAGGGATCCACAAGTTCTTTTTTTTTTTTTTTTTTAAAAGACGGGGTTTTACCATGTTGGTCAGGCTGGCCTTGAACTCCCGACCTCAGGTGATCTGCCTGCCTTGGCCTCCAAAGTGCTTGGATTATAGCCGTGAGCCACTGCGCCCGGCCAGGATCCACAAGTTCTAATTTTTAAAAGTCATGTTTTCATTTTTATAGAATGCTTGAACAAATTATTGTTTGGTTTTTTTTTCTGAGATAGGGTCTCACTCTGTCACCCAGGCTGGAGTGCAGTGGCGCAATCTCAGCTCACTGCAACCTCCACCTCCTGGGCTTAAGGGATTCTCGTGCCTCAACCTCCTGAGTAGCTGGGATTACAGGCATGCGCCACCACACCTGGCCTTAGTTTGCCAATTATTTAAATACAGCTTCTCTTCTGTAGTGATAAAATACAAATAAATCCCATTTTCATAGACTGACTTCAATTTCTTAGGTCAGTGTTTCCCATGCTGGGGGCACATGCACATATGCTTGAAGTTCAGAGGTATTTGAGACACCAGTGTGCTGGTTACGATCAAGGGTTTCAGAGTCACACAAGCCTGAGTTCCAGTCCTAGTCCCACCACCCCAGGAATGGGCTTCCCACACTTGCCCATCAAATGGGGCCAAGCACCTGCCTCTAGGGGCTATGAGGCTCTGGCTGGCATCTCTCTAAGACAAAGAGACTTGGCCAGCCCAGCAGTTAGCTACCACCACTATTATTATTTACTATTATCACCTACTTGTGATTTCCACCCTGCCCTGCAGTTTCAGAGCGGTCAGTCCAGAGCACATGAAATCAGCTGCCCACAGAAACCACTTTAAATGACAGGATGTTTCCCTTGCCAGAAGGAGAGGAACAGCCTGGAAATCTAATCAAGTACTGGCCAAATGTCAAAGGAAGCTGAAGCCTCAATTAGTTTAGTGCTATCAATGAGGGTTCAATGTGCATGTGGAGGCCTGGGAGGCCAGGGCAGAGAACAACAGGTTCAGGGGGCCTGACCCCACAAGGCCACCCCTCAGGAGGCTGCAGGCTGCGTCTCAGCCACCTTGAGAACATCAGGGTGTTTCCCTCCCCTGATTTCACTGCCACCAATGACCTTCTGGTTGTCTTCAGCTTCCCTAAAATCTTCTATAAGGGAGAGACTCCACTGATGAGCGCTCTAGTCACCAGGCCCACATGGCGAATGCTTAGAAGGTAACACTACATCTTCTGGCTTCTCGCTTAGTTGCCTGGGAGTTCGGTTAGCATGACTCAGTGTTCCTGAGAATGCTCAACCCCATGGCCTCTGACAAACATGTTTCTGGATCACAGTGATGCCACTAAGGTATGTGGATCCCCTCCCCCAGTCTGTCCGCAATTTCACTGGAGAGCCTCCCCATTAACACTCTAGATAAAGGCTGCACTACACTGCTGCCCAGCAGCTCTGGGTCAGAGATTCTGAAGGCAATGGGCTGAGGCATGGGCTAGTGGGGCTAGGGGAGGCGATTTGCAGCCCAGACAGTGGCAGTACTAGCCCTCTCCCACCCACTGCTCCAGCTTCTCCTCCTAGCCCCTCGGCTCCCCAGGGTGGGCCCATTTCCTTACAGGCAGGATTTGTATTTCTGTCTCCCCCACCTCAGATGAGTCTACATACCAGCAAATCATGGAGACTTTCCTGAGGTGCAGGCTGAAAGCAACAAAGCTATGGGAATTAAAACTATCTTTTGACATTAAAAAAAAAAATCCACAATTGGTAAACTTCATATTATGCTTTTTTTTTTCTTTTGAGACGGAGTTTTGCTCTTATTGCCCAGGCTGGAGTGCAATGGCTCAATCTCAGCTCACTGTAACCTTCGCCTCCCAGGTTCCAGCGATTCTCCTGCCTCAGCCTCCTGAGTAGCTGGGATTACAGGCGTGCGCCACCATGCCTGGCTAATTTTTGTATTTTTAGTAGAGATGGGCTTTCTCCATGTTGGTCAGGCTGGTCTCAAACTCCTGACCTCAGGTGATCCACCTGTCTCTGCCTTCAAAGTGCTGGGATTACAGGTGTGAGCCACTGTGCTGGGCCATGTTATGCTTTTATAACCTTTCCTGGTCTTCTCTAGGCTTTGGAGGCATCCCGTGCACTCACAAGATCCGCGTTCTTTGTGTCTCTCCATGGGCTTGAGCCTCCTCCCTGTGTCTGTCCTGAGTCTTGAGGGCGGGGTGATTGCCAATGCCTTAATGGTCCCGTCTGGTTCAATAAAAATGTTTCTGCTTCAACTTTTTGCTTCCTTGGGCTCCCAGAAGCCACACACACACAGAGAATAGACGCGCTGGCTGGTGGGAGGCAGCCACTCCACACTGCTTGCTTCAGTTCAATAAAGGCACCCACAACAAAGCATCTAGTTGGTAACATTGATGGCTGATTATGCTTCTTCCAGCTGGCCCCATAATTCAGCCACAGTCTTTGGGCCTGGAGTCACTCTGAACCTGAAGTTGGTTGAGAACTTCTAGGTATTTGAGCGTTTCACTCCTGATTGCCTTGACAGGCAACTGTATGTACCAGAACTGTATACAGATGATCACTCCCCCATCTTACCACCTCCCGCACCTCCCACACACATAGCAACAGAAAACCTACCACCATAACCATACCTCTGGGGGTGGGAGGCAGTCTGTCTTTCAGAATACTTACTGAACAGCTGGGCAAGAATCGAGGTACTCTGGATTGAAAACAAGAAGTAATAGAGCTGGTTGGAGGTATTTTCACGTTATAATGACCAGGACCAGGGCCTTCATGCTATCAAACATTTAAAAAATTGCTTCATTATTATACTAATATTTGATATCTTTTAATGCTTTATTTACCTTCTACTAACAAACATATAAATCAATGTGGTATGGTAGAAAAATCCCACATTTGGTCTTGAGAGATCTCATTAAGGTGTGAGCTGGGACATGTCACTGTGAAATGGGAGTGACGCCTGCTCACCTTTCTTGTGCATAATGGTGAGGAGTAAAGGAGGGTAGGTGAGCAGTACCTGCCTCCCTTGTCCCTACCAGGGTCCCTGATGCCCCTGGGCCCCCAGCCCACACTCAGTTCCCCCGGCCCCTCACAGCAGCAGGCAGGCCTCACGCCATACTTGCCCCTCTGACTGTTAAAGGTGACTTCCTGCTCCGAACTGTTAGCTTTATAAAAATGCTTATTCTTTCATATAAATGTTATATATGTTACCTTAGTTCAAAAAACTATTCATAGCAATTCACTGATATAAGCACAAAGCTATAAGATTAGCATAAATAGGTGAACACAATTTTAAAAAGACAATCACTCTGGTAGGAAAATTAGCAATAGGCAATTCACAAAGAGGATATACAAACATTTAATGAGCAAACTTCAGGGAAGGAGGGCTTTAACCTCATTTATAACCAAATAAATTCTAATTTAAAAAACAAAATTCCTTTTTTTCCCCATGGGTTAAGGAGAAAGGGGTTCTAAAAATTAAAAAAGGTTAAGAAAGAAGAGAGAGGAAGGAAGAAAGGGAAGGAGAAAAGGAAGGAAAGGAAGGGAAGGGAGGGAGGGAGGAAGGGAGGGAAAGGAGGGAAGGAAGGGAAGGGGAGGAAGGAGAGAGGGAAAGAAGGAAGCCGAAGCTTTAACAACCAGCACGGGCACTCCTTACGATGCTGGCAGAAACGTAAATTTGATCAGCCTTTCCAGAGTGCAATCTGGCAAAATATGAAACAGCTTAAAAACATATAGGCCAGCCGGGCGCAGTGGCTCAAGCCTGTAATCCCAGCACTTTGGGAGGCCCAGGCGGGTGGATCACGAGGTCAAGAGATCGAGACCATCCTGGTCAACATGGTGAAACCCCATCTCTACTAAAAATACAAAACATTAGCTGGGCATGGTGGCGCGTGCCTGTAATCCCAGCTACTCAGGAGGTTGAGGCAGGAGAATTGCCTGAACCCAGGAGGTGGAGGTTGCAGTGAGCCGAGATCACGCCATTGCACTCCAGCCTGGGTAACAAGAGTGAAATTCCGTCTCAAAAAAAAAAAGAAAAAAAAAAAAAAACATATAGGCCAGCCAGCATGGTGGCTCACACCTGTAATCCCAGCAGTTTGGGAGGCCAAGGCGGGCGGATCATCTGAGGTCAGGAGTTCGAGACCAGCCTCACCAACATGGAGAAGCCCTATCTCTACTAAAAATACAAAAAAAATTAGCGAGGCGTGGTGGCATATGCCTGTAATCCCAGCTACTCAGGAGGCTGAACCAGGAGAATCACTTGAACCTGGGAGGTGCAGGTGGCGGTGAGCCAAGATCGCACCATTGCACTCCAGCCTGGGCAACAGGAGCGAAACTCTGCCTCAACAAAAAAAAAAAAAAAGAAAGAAAAGCTGGGCGTGGTGGCTCACGCCTATAATCCCAGCACTTTGGGAGGCCGAGGTGGGAGGATCACCTGAGGTCAGGAGTTCAAGACCAGCTACTCAGGAGGCTGAGCCAGGAGAATCGCTTGAACCTGGGAGGTGCAGGTGACGGTGAGCCAAGATCATGCCATTGCACTCCAGACTGGGCAACAAAAGCGAAACTCTGCCTCAAAAAAACAAACAAACAAAAATATATATGCTTATCCAGGTTGGGAGAATGGAGAATGGTTATTGGTTGTTGCAGGAATCCAGGAGACAAATGCTGAGTCCTGAGCCTAGAATGTGGCAGGGAAAATGGGAATAGCCGGACCGCCACACTGGGTAATGCTAACATGATGTTAAATCTTTTTTTCCCCCTAGTAATTCACCTTTTTTCCCCTCCTATTTTCAAATAGCTAGTGCTCCTTGCCTCGGGGGAGGGACAGGGCATAAAACAAAAATATATGTTTTTCTAGCATGATGTCTTGGATCTGTTTCTAAATAATGCAGGAGTTAGGGGAAGTGGGTGGGAGTATTAACCAAAAAATTGACCTGAAGTTGAACACTGCTGACTAGGTACATAAGGTTTCAATGCAGTAGTCTAAGTTGTATATATTTTTCAAGTTTTCACAATATGGAGTTTAGGACAACATATATTTATTATTTTGACCCAGCCATTTCAGTTTTAGGCATTCACCCTAAGAAAATGATTGAGAATATGTGCAAATATTTAGCCACAATGACTGTAACATTGTTTCCAAAAGTGAAAAATGGGAAATAAACTAAATAATGGATGATATGTATGATATGTACCTGGTTAAATAAATTACAATGCTTCCATCCAGCAGGCCAGTGTTGATGAAATTTTTTTTTTTTTTTTTTTTTTTTTGAGACAGAGTCTCACTCTGTCTCCAGGCGCCAGGCTGGAATGCAGTGGTGCGATGTCAGCTCACTGCAACCTCTGCATCCCGGGTTCAAGCAATTCTCCTGCCTCAGCCTCCCGAGTAGCTGGGACTACAGGCGCACACCACCACGCCCACCTAATTTTTGTATTTTAGTGGAGACAGGGTTTCACTATGTTGGCCAGGATGGTCTCAATCTCTTGACCTCGTGATTCACCCGCCTCGGCCTCCCAAAGTGCTGAGATTACAGGCGTGAGCCACTGTGCCCGGCGATGAATTTTTATAGATATAAAAACTACTCCCAAATATCATTAAGTCAAAAATGCAAGCTGAACAAATGTGCATTAAAAAACTTGGAATGAAACTATCTCAGAATATTCACAGACAGTTTTCTTGGGGTAGTGGCATGTTGAATAAAAAGGAAATGAAAAAAAATTTTTTTTTGCTGATATGCATTTTCTAATTTTTCTACAATGAACACGAGGGCTCCTGAAATGAGAAAAAAAATGATACTTAATGTATAGATAATTGACTATGGAAACTAGGTAAAGAAAAATAGAGGCCAGGCATGATAGCTTATGCCTGTAATCCCAGCACTTTAGGAGGCTGTGGCTGGGGGTTTACTTGAGGTCAGGAGTTCAAGACAAGCCTGGGCAATATGGCAAGACCCTGTCTCTACAAAAAATGTAAAAGTTAGCCTGTTGTGATGATGTGTTCCTGTGGTCCCAGATACTTGGGAGGCTGAGGTGGGAGGATCACCTGAGCCCGGGATGTCCAGGCTGCAGTGAGCTGTGATCATACCACTGCACTCCAGCTTGGGAACCAGAATGAGACCCTGAAAGAGAGGTGAGGGGAGGGGAGGGGAGGGAAGGGAAAGGGAGGGGAGGGGAAAAAAAAAGATAAAGCCAACAGTAAGGTCATAATAGAGACATGTATCCTGTAAGATCCTTATAATAGGTAAGGCTGGCCACAAATGAGCACCACAGATTTGGCAGAACAAGCACTGAGCTGCAGGCTCTCCATGGGAGGGAGGGAGGGATTTACTTTTTAAAATTTATTTATTATTTATTTATTTAATTTATTTGAGACAGAATCTCACTCAGTAGCCCAGGATGGAGTACAGTGGTGTGATCTTGGCTCACTGCAACCTCCGCCTTCTGGGTTCAAGTAATTCTTCTGCCTCAGCCTCCTGAGTAGCTGGGACTACAGGCACGTGCCACCACGCCTGGCTAATTTTTGTATTTTTAGTAAAGATGGGGTTTCACCATATTGGCCAGGCTGATCTCGAACTCCTGACCTTGTGATCCACCTGCCTCAGCTTTCCAAAGTGCTGGGATTACAGATGTGAGCCACTGCACCCAGCCCTTCCACAGGATTTAAAGCAAGGCTTTCCCATTCTCTCTGGCAGGTGGCACAGCCATGTAATCAGGGCTGCCATTCTCAATTACTCCACCATGAATGGAGTCTGTTATTATCAGTCAAGCACACGTCTGATAATCAAGGGATAGATGTGCCTCATCATTTTACAACTTATGGAAGAAAGATGAAAACAGTCATATTTTCAAACTGATACATACGTGTGACAGAGGTTGCTGTCAGAGTGAGCCTCTCTGGTGTGAATTCTGCACTCAAATTGAAGAAATCTAAGCCATAATAAACACAAAGGAGCAAAACGCCAAGAAAATCTGCACAGGAACAGTTTGTGTAGCTGCCTCTCAGTTTGGCTATAACAATGCAGTGCTCTCAAGCCAGATGAGTAGCTGGGGCAAGAGATGATGCTGAGTGTGCTACCATTCATTCCACACCTATGACAGGCATCTGCAGAATGGCTAAAAAAGGAGCGATCTGCCCCTTTTCCCCAGGCCTAATGTAGCTTTGCTATCTAAGCTTCCTAGTCTCGAGCTGCCTGGGAGTCCAGGTGTGAAGTCTGATGAAGCATGATGTGTTGCCATCCCATCCAGCAGCTTCCTTGCATGACCTTGGTCATCTGAATCAAAGGGACTAAGATGTGCTGCAGAAGTTACTGAATGCTATTCCACATGTGGCAGATGGGATCTTTAAGAGGGAGCATTAGGGAAGTGGATATAAGCCCAAGTTCATATTCCAAAGCCACAGGCATGCTGTGGCAAAGCCATGACTATTCTGAGACTGCTCATGGGAGGGTCCTGCAATGGCCAGGAAACAGCTCTAGCAGAGTCCCCGCTGCTGCACCATCCGAGGACGACTTGAGTGGACAGATGGCTTGGGATGTGCCATTTCTGAACCCAGCTCAGTGGGAGGGTGTTTAAAACAACAGGGACATTTAAACCATGTCCTCCTCTTCCTTAAAGCTGAGCAGTCTGCTCTCTCCTTTACTGGGATCCTCAAGTGTGATCTAGAGCTCGGGTCTCATACGGTGTATGATGTATGTGCAAAGGGAGGCCTCCAGGTTCACCACGCAGCACTAAGCATCTCTTCCACAAATCAGACTGGTCATTTCCTAAACCTTGCTTTT